TAATTCAGGGTTGCACTGCACTTGGGACCCCAGGTTGCGTCCAGAAAGCCTAGGTTCCCTGGGGGAGGGGGAGGCGGAGGCGGAGAACCCAGGGCCGGCCCAGAATGCAGAGGCTCAGGCCTGGCTTGCACTCTCCTTGTCTTCAGGCCCTTCCCACGTGGCCAGCCTCCCCAGGCCCAGCCCCTCTTCAGTTTAGGGGTAAACCCCAGGGCTCAGCGTCTTCTTAGCCAGGGCTCCACTGACGCCATAGACACAGACACCCCTTCCCTGCAAGCCAGTGCTTCCCCGCCTGCCTCACACCCTCCGCAAGGCCCCTGCTCAGGCCTCTGCACGCCTGTCCCACCGACCTGCTCTTTTCCGAAGCCTGGGCGCCAGCCTCCCTCTGGCCTACCTTCCACTACCAGGAATGTGTGCTGTGTGTGCTGCGCCCTCGCCCGCCCTTATAAGCGCCACAGGGAGGCACGTGCTGCGTGGTGCGCAGGCGCTGCCCTTCCCCGCGCATGCGCCCTGGGCAAGGACGCCCCTCCCCCTGGTCAAGTGACTCTGCCGGAACAGAGCAGCTCTGCACCAGCCCCGGGGGCAACCTCAGCCCTTTCCTCTGGGCCCACCTGTTGGGTGTAGAGCCCTGGTGTTGGCTCCTTCCCAGAACCAGACAGTTCCTTGTCCCCCTCACAGTTTTTTTTTTTTTTTTTTTTTTTTTTATATAATATATTTTATTGATTTTTTACAGAGAGGAAGGGAGAGGGACAGAAAGCTAGAAACATCGATCAGCAGCCTCCTGCACACCCCCTACCGGGGATGTGCCCACAACCAATGTACATGCCTTTGACCAGAATTGAACCTGGGACCCTTCAGTCTGCAGACCGATGCTCTATCCACTGAGCCAAACTGGTTTCGGCCCCCTCACAGTTCTTAACTCCCCCTTCCATTTGTGCTTTGTGTTGTGGTTTTTTTTTTTTTTTTCTTTCATATATACATATTATATATATATTATTTATTTCAGAGAGGGAGAGGGAAGAGTCAGAAACAGCAATGGTGAGAGAGAATCATTGATCGGCTGCCTCCTACAGGCCCCCTATTGGGGATGAACTCACAACCCAGGCACATGCCTTGCTGACCAAGAGACAGAGACTACAGATAGCTACGTGGCAGATTCCCAGGGGGAAGGCCTTGAACGTGGCTGATAAGTCAGACTAATGCAAGTAGCCCCAAGGAGCTACAAATGGGTCTTGACCCAGTTTCTATAGAGCCCAACAGTATTATGCTGAACACTCACTGGTTTCCAGGAAGATTAGGTGTGAGGGTAAGGCAGAATAGAAAGAAGCTAAGGAGATGCCTTGACAAGTGGAATAAGGAAAACTGAGGCAATATAATTAGACAAGGCCAAACAATCTGAGCAATTTACAGCCAGCTAATGAATGACAAGGTTTTATCTTTCCTAACCATGGACACTAACCAGTGGGAGGTGTGCAGGAGGCAGCTGATAGATGTTTCTCTCTCTGATCGATGTTTCTAACTATCCCTCTCCCTCCCTCTCTGTAAAAAAAAAAAAAAAAAAAAAAAAAAAAAAAATCAATAAAAAAATGTGTATATATATATATATATATATATATATATATATATATATATACACACACACACACACACACACACTATCCCTCTCCCTTCCTCTCTGTGGGAATATATATATATATATATATATATATATATATATATATATATATATATATTTTACAGAGAGGGAGAAGGATAGAGAGCTAGAAACGTTGATGAGAGAGAAACATCGACCAGCTGCCTCCAGCACATTTTCTATTGGGGATGTGCCCACAACCGATGTACATGCCCTTGACTGGAATTGAACCTGGGACCTTTCAGTCCGCAGACTGACGCTCTATCCACTGAGCTAAACCAGTTTCGGCAATAAAATATATTTTTAAGCCGAAGCCGTTTTGGCTCAGTGGTAGAGCGTCGGTCTGCAAACTGAAGGGTCCCAGGTTCGATTCCGGTCAAGGGCATGTGCCTGGATTGCGGGCACATCCCCAGTGGGGGGTATGCAAGGGGCAGCTGGTTGATGTTTCTCTCTCATCGATGTTTCTAGCTCTCTATCTCTCTCCCTTCCTCTCTGTAAAAAATCAATAATATATATATATATATATATATATATATATATATATATATATATATATATATATATATAAATACAAAAAGGGCATTCGTGCATCAGTTAATGCCAGACTTGCTTTCTTACAGAAACATGGTCAGGTGGGCCTGTCCCACCTATCTAAGCACCCCTTTTCCATAAATTTTCCTCTCACTCACAGCGTTGGAGAGGTCGCCCCAAGGAATGTCCTGCATCCCTTCTCTGTCACCCCCAAAGATAAAAGGAGAACTTCACATCAACCCCATGGGAGGGAGAACAGGTGAGAGGGAGTCCTGCGGCTCACAGAGAGGACATGATGAAAAGGTGGCCATTGGGAGGCAGCAGCCACAGGAAGTGTCGGCAGCAGGGACACCTCCTCACTCCAGCCACCTGTTCCTTATTGCCATAGCACTTTCGTAAACATTGTGATATAAAACACAGAAGGACGAAATTCACCACGCTAACCGTTTTTTTTTAAATGTACTGTACAGCCAAATCCGGTTTAGCTTAGTGGATAGAGCGAAGGGTCCCGGATTCAATTCCGGTCAAGGGCTCGTGCCTTGGTTGTGGGCACATCCCCAGTGGGAGGTGTGCAGGAGGCGGCTGATCAATGTTTCTCTCTCATCATTGTTTTTAACTCTCTATCTCCCTCCCTCTCTGTAAAAAAATCAATATATTTTTTAAAAATAAAATAAAATAAATGTACTGTACAGTTAACGATATGCCCGTGGTTATGCAGCTGCCCTCTGGAACTTTTCACCTTGCGAAACTGCAACTCAGTATGTGGAGTTGAACAGCTCCGCCCTTCCCTCTCCCCCAGGCCCTCAGCCACCAGGCTGCTTTCTGTCTAGAGTAGTGTGACTGCCTTATGTAGGTGTAATAACAGGGGACATACTTGTCTTTTTGTGACTGGCTTATTTCTCTTAGTAATGTCCTCAAGGTCCATCCTTACTGTCGAACCTTGCAGAATCTCCTCCTTTTTAAAGGCGGATGGTCTTCCTTTTGAAGTGAGTGTCACGTATTCCTATTCATCCACCTGAGCAGGGGCATCTGCTGTTCTGAATGGGCCTCAGTGAGCACAGGAGTGCTGGTAGCTGAGCGCCTGGAGCTGGAATTGCTGGGCCCCTAGCAGCTCTACTTTTTATTATTATTATTATTATTATTATTATTATATTTTATTGATATTTTACAGAGAGAAAGTGAGAGAGATAGAGAGCTAGAAACGTCGATGAGAGAGTAACATCAATCAGCTGCCTCTTGCACACCCCCTACCGGGGATGTGTCCGCAACCAAGGCACATGCCCTTGACCGGAATCGAACCTGGGACCTTTCAGTCAGCAGATGGACGCTCTACCACTGAGCCAAACCGGCTTCGGCGCAGCTCTACTTTTAATAATCGGAGGACCATCCACGGTGTTTCCCACAGCGGCTGCGCCAATTCACATTTCTACGAAGAAGAACGGTGCATGAGGTCTCACCAGCACATTAGCGCTTTCTTTTCTGTTGTTGTTGTTGTTGCTTTTTCATAAAGATCATCCTAACTGTGCGAAGTGAGGTCTCCATGTGGTTTTGACTTGCATTTCCTGATGATGTTGAGCATGTTTCCAGAAGCTTGTTGGCCATTTATTTAGCTGAGCCTTTGGCCTATTTTTTAATTGGGTTTGCTTAAACAGAAATGAAATTTGGAGATGAGATTTCATCGTTTTAATTTGTACTCCTGCCGTAAAGGTAAGGAACTGTGAAGGAAAAGAGCCACATGCTAACCTGACAAGTTCAGGAAAGGCCTGTGTGGCAGTTTTGCACACTCAGAGACCTAAAATAACCACAAAAGATGGTTTGAAAATTAAATATCTAACTACAGACAGGTCATAGAGGGTAGTCATGTCCAAGGCCAATATTTCACCTGACAAAGGTCAACTTAGATCTTCTTTACTGAGCCCATTTGTCTTCCGGCCTCTAAGATAACATATCTGTGAGATGTCTGGGTAACTTGTAACTTCCCTTTTTCTGGAGCCCCTGGGACACAACCAAATGTTGTGGGCACTAGGATAGATGCCTCAAATTCCTTCCTTACCATGTTAATTATTCCTGCATTCACTTAAGTACGAGTCCATCATTTTACTTTTTATTCAATCCCAGGGTTTTCCCAAAGCTTTGCTTTCTCCCGCCTCTTTACTCCGTCACCAATGAATTCCATGTAACTCTATGTCCCTCCCTTGATTGCACACAAAAATTCTTTACAGGTTTCAATGTTTTGTTTTTTTTTTCGTTAACAGAACCTTTATCAGATGCGTGGTTTGAAAATACTTCCTCACATACCCTTGGTCCCCTCTTCGCTGTCCCCGCGGTGGCGCTGCACTCAGCCGTACTGCGCGGTAGCGTTGGCGGTAACCGCGCGGCCTTCTGGGGGTTGTAGTCCAGGCCCAGGAGGCAGGACGTCGTGGAACTTTTTTTTTTTTTTTATTAATGGACCAAGGTTGGAATCGGATTCCTATTGGGTGGGGCTAGAATGAACCCCAGCCCAGCATGGCCCTCATTAGCAGAGACAGATAATTAATACAATTCTCTTTTCAGTGCTCAGAGAGCACCCGGACTTTGGCTGCGATAGGCCCACCTTCCACCTCGGCCTCCGACGCAGGCCACGCCCTCCCGCCTTTAGCCTGTCCTCACCACTAGGCACTAGCCCCGCCCCTCCGCAAGCCCCGCCCCCTCTGAGCTCGGGGGCGGGGCTTGCGGCGGGGGCGGGGCGTCCTGGCCTTTCCAGCCCGCGCCTCTAAGGCCCCCGGCGGCTCTGAGCCCGGTTCTTTTCCGCTCGGGAGGCGCGCGGGGACCTGTCATGGACCGGGCGGCCGTGGCGAGGATGGGCGCGGTGGCGAGCGCCAGCGTGTGCGCCCTGGTGGCGGGGGTGGTGCTGGCCCAGTACATATTCACCTTGAAGAGGAAGACGGGGCGGAAGACCAAGATCATCGAGATGGTGAGTGCGGGTGCCCGGCGCGCGGGAGAGCCGGGGAGGGGACCCGCGGGGCCCGCGGGCTGGGATGCCAGGGGCGCCCCGGGGACCCGTTCGGGACCCCCGATGGCGGCACTCGGGGGGGGGGGGTGGGGCCTTGGTTATGTCTCCCTTTGAAACAGAAAGGCAGCGATTAGGTGATAAGGAAACGAGCTATAACCTCCTGCTGCAAAGTCCGTTTCTATGGAGATAAACCGAACATCTGCACAGGTTTCTCCCTCCTTCCCGCACCCCCTGCAAATCCTGGCCGCCAACCCAGGTCCAGCCGAGGGGCTGTTTCTGCACCCTGGCTGGGATGGGTTAGATCCGGGATAGGTGTACCTGCTCCGTGGTTAAAAGAATGCCGCTCATCCAGTTGGAGTTCCGAGCTGTTTATTTTGTATTTGAATGTTATTTATTTCTTCTTGTTTCAAACCGCCAGGAGGTATCTTTGTGTTCATTGTAACCCCAAACCTCTTACATAATATTTTAGAAGTTTATTTACAGTTTTATTGTAATAGAATGTTTCGAGAATTCTGAGGAACATTACAAGGAGTGTTTGCAACAGAGGGTTTTTTGCTTTTGTTTTTTTAATTAGAGTTCATTAATCAAGACAGGTAACCCACTGAGTTGCATTCCAATGTACTTCCTGGAGTATATACTCCGGGTATATTCCAGGTGAACATCTGGAGTCAAATATTTGTGACAAATCAGTTGACAGCCTACGACTCGACTAAATACTAATCATTTTAAGTTCATGTGCTACTTAGAATATTTCAGCCTCAGTGATACAATCTGATGGGTCAGATAAACTGTTTGGTTGCTATTGGCTGCAGGTTGAGTACAGAAATACTTTCCATTACTAAGAGTAAAAAAAAAAAAAAATTAACTCCTTCATGTCTCATGTCAATTATATTTCTAAGTTTTGTTTATTGCTAGCATTCAGTTATTCTTGGGTTATTACTTCTCTTCTCCACTTGTGTACCACAGCAGAAAGTTTTTGTCTTAGACATTTCATTTTGTTGACGGTGCTGTCCAGTGGAGAGAACTTTGGTGATTTCCTTTTGTTCCAGGCCAAGAATATATTCACGAGTATCTGTATGTGACCCATAAAATTAAATTTTATGTTAGGAAAATCTATAATACACATGTGCAAACTGATTGTCATACCTTCTGGTGTGTGGTTCTATGTGTAGAACTGTGGGTTCATCTGTTACATCACTTCTCTGAACCAAAAGAGCTAAAAATGAATGCCCTTGCACAATCCCACAGTGAAACCATCGTGGACAGTTTGCCACCGTTGTGAAGGGAGAGACCAGGCAATCTTCCCATATGTATCTGTATACACACTATTATATTCACATTATGGTCAGCCCACAGTATGGGAGAGACCAGGCAATCTTCCCATATGTATCTGTATACACACTATTATATTCACATTATAGTCAGCCCACAGTATGGGCTGACTGCTCGTAGCTATTAAAAGGCCAAAAGTCAAAAGAACTTGGTGTGTTTAACTTGTAATTTTACTTCCTCCAATGGAATGAGCATTTGTTTGGGAATCGGAAGACCTAGATTCAAATCCTGGTTTTATCTCTTGCTAATAGATGTGTTTTAGGGGGCACGCTCGGCCCACCTCACCCTCAACAACCCCCACTTTAGAGAATCTGAACAAACCCACGGATGTCCAGGGGATGTAGCCGGAACTGGTCCCAGGTAATGGACCCAGCAGTAACTACTTGCCCACAGTGGGCCTGTCTACCACTGATGAGGTGAACAAGTGACGTCTGGCACTGGGTTTGGCAGGATGTGCTGCTTGGAGGATTTTTACTAAGAGACACAGGGGGTTGCTAGTGGGCTACACACCCTGCTGCTGAAATGCTGAGTGAGGCACCACACATAAGGGAAGTCAGCCACACGCCAGAAGCTTCAGAGATAAGAGGGGCCCTTTCCTGATGTTGTGTTTCTTTCCCTTCAAGCCTATTTGTTTATTTTATCGTTTAAAGTGTTACAAATAGTAGTGCATATGTCTCCTTTATCCCCCATTGACTCCTCCCACCGCTCCATCTACCCCCACCCCCTACCACTGGCCTCCCCTACACGCCCCTGCACAATTACTCATCGTTCTGTGTGGCCCTAAGGCCTGAAGCAGCCAGCCTCACCTATGAATGGAGCTAGTTTGGGTAGATTTCTATTCCTTGCAGCCCAAATCTATTTAAGATGACTAATTCATTTGCTGTGGTCAATACACTTTATTTCTTTATTTTAAATATATATATATATCATTAATTTTTTTACAGAGAGAAAGGGAGAAGGATAGAGTTAGGAACATTGATGAGAGAGAAACATCGATCAGCTGCCTCCTCCCCACTGGGGATGTGCCCACAACCAAGGTATGTGCCCTTGACTGGAATTGAACCTGGGACCCTTGAGTCCTCAGGCCAATGCTCTATCCACTGAGCCAAACCGGTTAGAGCACACTTTATTTTTAAATAAACATTTTATTTTGGAAAAATTTAAAATTTATGGAATAATTGAGCAGGTAAATAGAGTCTTATACTGCACAGCCAGTGTCCCCTGTTACTAACATTAGTATGGGGCATTTGTAAAAATTATTATTCATATATTGTATTTTGTTTTTTTTTCTATTTTTTAGGAATCCTCTCCCCCTTAATTTATACATTTTAAATATCCATGCTTTGTTCAGATTTTCTTTGATTTTTGCCTAATGTCCTTTGCCCCAAGATTCCATTCAGAATACCCCATTACATTCTGTCATCATGTCTCTGTATCCCTTCCTGGCTGGGACAGTTTCTCAGATTTTCCTTGTGTGTTTTTCTATTTTTTTATATATCCATGACACTATGAGAAATATATATATGTATTTGGAGTTTGTCCCACGTCCCACGTTGCTGGCACACAGCCCATAAAACACTCGGACTCTAGCAAGTGTTAGGACTATCTCTTGTATTCTAATGAGATGGACTCTGCCATCTGGTGGCCCCAAGATATGCGATGTGGGCTGATGGTACCCAGAAAGATCAAGGTGTGATTCCAGGATGGAACTTACAGTCCCCCCTCACCCCTCTGTAGAGGGGAAGGGGCTGGGGTTTAATCTCGGGCCAGCAAATTAATCTATCTTGCCTGCACAACAGAGCCGCCATACAAACCCCTCAGGGAGAGCTGTCAGGTTGGCGGGTGCCTCCCGGTGCTGGGGGGACAGCGTGCTTGGAGGGCATGGAGCTCTCCACCCCTTCTCCCACAGCTGGCCCTGTGGTTTCCTCCCACGTGGCTCTGACTTGTATCCTTAGTTGTAAACCCGTCACCATCAGTAAAGCACTCTCCCGAGTTCGGTGCCAATTGTGGGAGCAGAGGAAGGGATTGTGGGAGCCCTCGAATTTGCACCCAGTCAGTCAGGCCTACGGGTGGGCAACCTGGGGCTTGCCCCCTGGCATCTAAAGCAGGGGGCAGATTTCTGGGACTGAGCCCGTCACTCACTATAAAGAGTGTCGGAACTGAATTGGCCGTGGAGTTGAATTGGTTGGTGTGAAGAAAACCCCCCCACATTTGGTGCCAGTGTTGTATATGAAAACAGTTCAGTGTGAAAACAGTAATAACAGAATAAAATAAAATAAAAAACAGCTCAGTGTGAAGCAGGTAACTTGACTAAATAGTAGCTGTAACTATTATACCAAAGCACTGAGCATCAGCCCCTCCAAAATCATTTTTCCTTACGGACACTAATGCTGCATAATTTTATCCACTGGTCTTATTTACTTTCACCTTTCTCTCGCTTACGCTTTCAATGTCAGAATTACTCTTTCCAGTCCAGCCCGTGTGGCTCAATGGTTGAGCATCGAACTATGAACCAGGAGGTCACGGTTCGATTCCCGGTCAGGGCACATGTCTGGGTTGCCGGCCTGATCCCTAGTAGGTGATGTGCAGGAGGCATCCAATAGGTGATTCTTCTTCATCACTGATATTTCTATTTCTCCCTCTTCCTTCCTCTCTGAATTCAATGAAAATACTAGTCTAATTTAAAAAACAAAACAAAAAAACTCTCTAATTATCTTAGTAAGGATGACTTGCAGTTTTTGTAAACTGGACTAAAAAGGTTCAGGTTGCCAAGCATGTATACAGAAGTTTATACATATAGAGGTGAATTTTGCACAAACGTGACTGGTTTCGGGGATGAATTAGGATATAATGGTGAGCCTGGATTCCTTTCTCCCTCCGGTCTCTCTGGGAGTCATGTAGCATTGAGGCCTCCCTCGTATCTGTTGACGATCACGACTCAGTTGTAACTCACCATTCCAGTCAAGCTTGCCTACTCAGATCCGACCAGTTCTCTCCCGATCCCTCCTCCACTCCGATCAGACCTGCAACCAGGTATGGCCGGTCTCCCCATAAAAACAAAGGTTCTGGAACAGCCGAAACCGGTTTGGCTCAGTGGATAGAGCGTTGGCCTGCGGACTGAAAGGTCCCAGGTTTTATTCCGGTCAAGGGCATGTGCCTTGGTTGCGGGCACATCCCCAGTGGGGGCCGCGCAAGAGGCAGCTGATCGATGATTCTCTCTCATCAGTGTTTCTCTCTATCTCTCTCTCTTCCTCTCTGTAAAAAATCAATAAAATATATATTTTTTTTAAAAACAAAGGTTCTGGAACAAAGGCTGAGCACTGTCCGGAAATTTCCTCCCGTCGGGCAGAGAAACCCACTTCCACACACAGCTTAGTCTGTGAAGGATGAGGCTCTGAGGCCGGGAACTGTAATCAACATTTCCATATTGAATGATGTGTGACAACTTTAGTGTTTATACTTGGTTGATTTTTTTTTTTACTTGATTGATTTTTATTTGTGGACATTGCTTCCATGTTTTATAGTCTACAGATAGCATTTATCTACTTTCGAATTAATTTAGCCTAAATATAAGAGCATTAACAATAATAATACTTTCAGGAAATAGTAATAACTGCAAGTTTTCTTCA